GCAATAATGAAAGATTGCCTTAGTTGATCTGACATCGTTGAGTCTCAAGAGTTCTGCGATAGAGTTATCACTGCCCGAGTTATTGTAATCTTAATTAGTTCCTACCTTTTTTATCATTTTACTAGTTATATTACAAGGCCCTAGGAAGGGCAGTTCAGTAAGACATGCTCGACTACTTCATATTCTAGAATCCCACAAGTGCNCCCCCCCCCCCTCCTATTCCCTTTCCCATTCATTCAAATTTTCCTCAATGTATGCCAATTGTTCGTCTCCCAGCAGTTAAGAACTAGACTCGCGGAATGATAATGAAATAATAAAAAATGGTGGAAGAATATTTGAGCAGTGTAATGGGGGGCTGTCCAAAATTTACAACAAAAGAAAGGAATTCCAGCTGCAGGGAGAGAAATTTTCTAGAAAAATTGTAATTTGTGTACTGAAAAAAATCACAATCCACCGCTTGTGAAAAATTCTAGTACTGTTAAGGTCAAATTTCTCAGGATTTCTGGTATAATTTCTGGGAAAATTTCACATTTTCCCAAATAATATTTCCAGTGCCAGCACTGGAATTTTTCCCTGGCCATCACTTTGCGCCTCTTTTATCGTGGTACACGGAGAGAAATATTCAATAAAAATTACGGATCTCTTCCGTAATTCCGGAGCGAAATGTGGTTGTAGGAAATTTTACGGAACTGTCACGGAATTTTTTCGGAGCGTTCCGTAATTTTTATCTGAATCTCCAGTGAAAAATTACGATACCGCCACTTAAACTTTCTGAGTCGATTTCGTAATCGGTGAGTGAATTGTGAGTTCCGTAATTTTTACTGAACATTTCTCTCCGTGTAGCACTAGAATTTTTCTACAAAATCTCTCTCCGTGTGGAAGAAGCGCTCGTGTACATGTGCTCTTTGTTACAAATGAAATTAATCAACTATCCGAGAGTACAGGACTAGTTTGAGTTTACAAACTGTACAGTAGCTAATGTTGTACTGAAATTCGACAGAATTATTCAAAACGACGGCTCGCCTCTTTGTCTCTCTCAATACAATAATAGAGTCCCTTAATTGATCTGACATCGTTGACTTCCAAGAGACCCGCAACAGAGTTATCCCTATCCGAATTATCATAATCTTAATTAGCTCCTACCCGTTTCATCATTCTACTCCTCACAAGGCCATAGGAAGGGCAATTCAGTAAGACATGCTCGACTGCGTCGTATTCTAGACTTCCACAAGTGCGGCTTTACTCAGTCTTCTTCCCCATTCATTCAAATATTTCTCAATGTATGCCAATTGTTCCTCTCGCACTAGTTAAGAACTAGAGTGACGGAATGATAATAAACAAACAATAAAAAAGTGCGGGAGAAAAATGGTGGAAAAATATGTTTGCCAAGCGCAGAGTAGCTAATGCCATAGAGAAATTCAACAAATTTATTCGAAATGAAGACTCGCTGCTTCCACCCCGATTAAAAAATATACAAAAAAATGAGTAGAGAAATGGTAAAACGGTACAAGTCAATTTTGACTATTGACTAGTTTTCAATGAATGTCTCGGAATCTAAGGGAGATAGCAAAATTTTTAATATAACCTTTTTTGTAGACCCAATTGAGAGCTACAAAAAATCTAATTACGAAAATTTCGCTATCTCCCTTAGATTCGGAAATATTCCTCAAAAACTCAACTGAGAGATAAGTCGAGTTAAACCGTTTTACCACTTCGCTAATGAAATATAGAATCTGGGCGATTCCATATATTTTTCAAATTTATAAAGAATATATAAAAAAGTATAACAACCCTATATTTTATATATTTTTTTGTATCAATTGGGCCAATTTAAGATTTTTAAAAATGTATTTTACAAAATATAAATTTTTTAGAAGTTTGTCTAAATTAATTTAACATCGTTGAATTTCAAGAGCCGTCCGATGCAAACATCCCTACGCGAATTATTATTATCTCGATTAGCACATTTTTCATCACATTACTCCCCACAATGCCAAGCAAAAAGCAATTCAGTAAGACATGCTCGACTGCGTCATATTCTAGAGTCCCACAAGTGCGGCTTCACTCAGTCCTCTCTCCCATTCATTCAAATTTTCCTCAATGTATGCCAATTGTTCCTCTCCCACGGAACGGTTATAAAAAAAATGATGGAAAAATATTTGAGCAATGTAATGGAGGGCTGCATAAAATTTACAACAGAAGAAAAGAATTTCAGCTGGAAGAAGCGCTCATGTGTATATGCTCTTCCTCATAAATGAAGTCAACCAACTATCCTAGAGTTTACAAACTACAAAGTACACAGCAAAAACGAATGTCCAAATTTCACGCACCTTTTGTAGACATTTTTCAAACCCTAAAAAATGTCTGAGTAAAATAAAAATTTGTCTGAATTTCAAACATGAATTACGATGTTTGGGGGCCTATTCGTCTGAAATTCAGACAAAGTTTCATTTTATTCAGACGTGCTGTGCATCTAAAAAATGTCTACAAAAGTGAAATGTGTGAAATTCAGACATTCCATTTGCTGTGCAGCCACCGTCATACAGGAATTCGACAAATTCATTCAAAGCGCCGGCTCGCAGCGGACAACTCTCACTAGAATAACACAAGATTGCCCAATTGACCTGAAATCTTCGAGTACCAAGAGTGGACTCGATAGCCCCATTCGAATTATTATCATCCTGATTAGCGCCGTTTCCATTCAACTTCGGCAATTTGGTAAAACATCCTCGACAGTGTCATATTCTACACTGCCACAAGTGCGGCTTCACTCACTCCCCTTTCGAACTCATTCAAATTTCCCTCAATTCATGCTAATTTTCTCTCTCCCCGTCAGTAAAAAATCACTGTGCCGGTAGTGATAAGGAAAAAAGCCCGAAAAAAATGGTGGAAAAATATTTGAGCAGTATAAATATTAGCATTGATCGACATCGAGAAAGCCAGTACTATGTTTGACTAGGTTTCACAGTGCTACATATACATGAGGGTAGGTTGGCATAATTAGGGATGATAGGAGTGCCGACGAGACCGGTTATTTTGTCGAGAACTGACGTATACCACGACATGACAGTCCGGGGGAAGTCCGTGCCCCATCATATTATGCCATGGCGCGTGTGTGCGTCATTGCGTGTTAGCTTTTACCTACCCAACATTGTATATGGATATGTATTGCACGACGCTGGAGAATACCCAGGTTGTTATATACTGTATAAAGCGTAAACTACAATTAGCTGTAATCCCTGTGACAAGGCCATCTCGCCCCCTGCCGTCGCGTATATTAGTCCATCAGTCTAACGGTAATTGTGAGCAAGTTGTATGTCAACTTTTTTTTTAGAGCGTGTATATCCTTGTTGCAGCCAAATTACCAAGTCATGGGGAGGAAACTTTTTAAAAAAGGGTAATGAATTATAATCGGGGGTAATTGTTATTTATGAGGATCGGGGGATTTATGGGGGCGCTCGGGTGATTGTTGATATTTTGGAATAACGAATGGAGGGGTAATCATGGGGGAGGGGGGAATATTTATGGGGCGATTGGAGACGATTGGTGCGGGGGTTTTCTACTTGGCGGAAGTGGTAAGGGAATCAGACGACAGTGGAAAAAGACTGCGATGGGGTAAAGCAGGTTCCACGCATATTTGGAGTGTTACCGACGGGAAACAAGTGGGGGACAATGATGTTCTGATGGTAATTCTGAGCATGTGTGTTTCAACTTTTTTTAGGACGGGTGTAGGCTGTTGGTGACTAATTACCAAGTTATTGGAAGGATAAAGTTGTGATGGGGATAAGTTTATGATCTAATTATGGGGCATTTTCAGAAAAACATCTGTTTTGACAGCACCATCTGTTGGAGTTCTGTAAAATTATAGATTTATAGATTTTATAAAAAATTATAGAAATTCGAGAAAATTCTCGGGACTTTTCCAAAATATTCTTGAACTTTCTGAACAATTCTAGAAATTTATCCAATTTTGGGAAGATACAAGGAAGGATTTTCAATTCCAAATTACATTATTAGTAAAAAAATCTAAAATCACTTTCGGTTCGCTATAAGCGAATTTTCACTCTTTTGAATCAACTCATATTATAATATGGATGTTCATGTAGATATACGGGATTTCCCATTCGGCACCACCTTTCTTGAAGCAAAGTATAATTTTAATCGTATAAAGGTATTGCAAATTACATTGAAACTGCATGGTATGAATAATATTCATATTATAAAAATTCAGAAACACATGAATATTTAAATATTTGACCATCCAAGTATACTGGTACCGGATTTTATATGTTAGAAAAAAGTCAGAGCTTTCCCAAAAAATTTAACGAAATACGTCAGTTATCAAAAAAATTATGATCCACGTAATTACGGTTGCCTCGAAGATACAACCACCTACAAATTTTCTACGAAAGGTTAACGAATTATAACGAATCCCGGAAAAACGGACCAAAGGAAATTTTTAAGTTGGGTGGGTTTTAGCAAGTTTTTTCCGCCTACCAATTATAATCGAGAGTTATTGTTATGAATATGCATCGAAGGATCTATGGGGATGCTCATGTAATGGTTAATATTTTGGAATACTAGAGATGTACGCGCGCATATGGTTTTGCGTGTGGCGCTATAATATGATTTTTCATTTCGTTTTATTGTATTTAGAAAAAAAGAATAATATATATATATCCGAATAAACCGGTGACAAAAAACTTTACATTGGATTTTTTTATAATGGAATGAATACATGCCATAACTAACTAATCATGGAAAGAACGAGGTGGAATGTTTTTGGGGCGATTAGAAATGTCTGAGCAAAGCGGGAATTTTCTACTCGCAGTCAGTGGAAACGGTAAGTGTGATCAGACGGCAGTGGAAAAAGACACTGGGCTGTGATAAAGTAGATTTCACTGATCGTATTTGTACCGTTACCGACGGAAAGCAAATGCAAGAACAATGATGTTACCTCGAGGCGATAATTTAATTCCCTCGTGATCCACAATCACAACTCTTCGTCAATGCCGGAGTCAGTTGCTTCGTTTGATACACTTTATTCTCGATAAAAAACTAGTTTTGAACGATTAATTTTGTTGACGAAAGTTGAGATGCTGTTGTGGGGTAGTTTTGCCATCCACTGGTGAATTCTTTCGACGCGGACATATTCGCAAAGGAGTCTGTGGCTGCATTGGAGCAGTGGTTTTGAGGTTATCCGTCAGACACGAGTGTTTCTTTCAGAATTGAATTGTTTACTGGAAAAATGATTCCAAAGACTCTCATGCTCCGAAGTGCGACGTTGAACGCTGGTGTCCACAGGCTGTGCTCGAGGAGGTGTTACTCGACAGAAGTTCCGTCGAAGAACGAACCTTTCGACATAAGCTCTGCTGAGGAGACACCCAGGTACATCCAGACTCTGACAGAGGCGGACAAAGAGGAGCTCATGCAGAAGAGGTTGAAGTCGAACCTCAATGATTCTCATCGGAGGATCATACAGGGCGAGAGACCCTACGATGAGAACATGGCGTGGTTCCACGCCACTATTAGGTACAAGAGGAGGATGCTGGGCAGGTACGGGATGGCGGCGATGGATGGGCAGATTGGAGCCGCTTGGCCCACGGAGGAGGAGATTCAGGACAAAATACTGTGGGAGAGGACGGCCTATCCGAAGAGTATACAAGAGCGATGGAAGGAGATTGAGGATAAGAAGATCGAGGAGGAGAAGGGGATCAGACTCAGGTAAAGTTGAATTACGACGTGACGGCTTCGTCCATCCAGAAAATGGGATTTTTAATTATTAAATTGAGTCGGGGATGATGATGGTTTAATCGAAGTTGTTGTTATTTCTCAGACATTCCCTGTGTGTTTTAATTCAGGGGAGGTGAGGTAGAATGAACCCAATGGAATCGTTAATATCTGCGAAGGAAATTTCGTGGTGAAGCATAGATCGGCATCAATCATTAATTTTAGTAATTTAGGTTTACTTATCGTAAATGAAATTTGAAAATTAATATAATAATTGATAATTTAATTTTTCAATTATTGGTTGATAAAATAATTCGAAATTTGAAAATTTTAGTTGATGGTTATTTTTAAAAATCAAAAAATTGGTGAGTAATATTAACAATTGACTTATTGCAAATTTAACTGTAATTCAAAATTTCGATTATGCCGATGTCTGTTGTGAAGTCTGGGAAAATATTTTCAATAATTGTAAATTCCACTTTGAATGACAGATAAAAAATGTAAAACAAATTGCGGAAAAATGTAATGCAACGATTGGAAAAAATAGGCATAGATACACAGTTATAATAATTAATTTTAATTCTATTTTCTCAGTTAGTTTTGGCACAACTCTTTCAAACTGTTCCTATGATCGTTTTTAGGGGATGCAATTGTCATGCCTTATCTATCTCTCGCAATTCATCTGCGACATTTTAATCCAGTCACCAAATGCGGATACTCAATTTCAGAATATTTTTTGAGACACGTGTTCATCTCCAAAACAGTCAAACCAATAAATTCCATTGAAACTCTCGCTAATAATTCCCTCATTTTCCAGGGAAGAGACAATCACCAAAAACATGGCCATGGTAGGTAAATGGCAGAATGAGTTGAAGGCAAAACTAGCCAAAAAAGAGGCTGACGTAGTGGCTGCTAAAGAGCGCAAAGCACGTCTGGTTGAAGAAGTGAGAAGGCAATTCGGTTTTGCTATTGACCCACGTGACGAGAGATTCAAACAACTGTTGGAGCAGAAGGAGAAGGAGGACAAGAAACGCAAGAAGGAGGCTAAGAAGAAGGAGAGAGCTGCAAAATTCCTGGCTTCTATGATGGGACAAACAAAGGGGGATTCGGGAGAGGCTTCCCCATCAGCCGAAACCAAGGATTCCGAAGAACCAGTGCAGAAAAAGCCGGAGAAAGAAACGTAGAAACGATAACTGTACAAATGAAAGCATAAATTTAAATTTGTAAAATTAATACGACTGTTCTTTTCATTTATTCGTCTAACGATAAATCAATTGTCCTTTTCATTTCGAAAGCATAAGAGTCTTTGGGAAATTATAAATATATTTTTCCTCGACTAATACAAAAAACATGATGTCAATTCCATAAAGGCTATGAGATAAACGTCATAAATACGAAGAAAATTATAAGTTATCAGAGTTCACACATGCAAGTATTTTTGTTTTGTTTTTGTTTTTTTGCTCAAACACAGTATTTTAATTGCAGCATTCATTCTCAATACTTTCACGTGTTCTCTTACGATTCTAGTAGTTAAGGCACATTAATAGCCAATGTAATCAACTGTCAAGTATGTTAATCGTCGATTGTTCGTCTCCATCGATCCTGTCGACATCCCTATCAGCATTACCATTGACAACTTCCATATTCTGTAATTTTTTCTCATCGACAATTCGTAGAATTGAAAGCTCAGTTCTTCACCGAAGAGATGGTTGGGGGTAACGATTTCTGACTATGGCACGATGATGGAAGAAGTAAAAGGAGGTTCGGGAGGGGGTTCATCATCAACTGAGAAACCAGTGCAGAAAGAACTGCAGAAAAAACCGTAGAAATGATAACTGTATAAATTTCAATTTGTAAAATGAATACGATTGTTCTCATTTATTCATCTGACGATAAATCAATTGTCCTTTTCATTTCGAAAGCATGAGAGTATTTGAGAAATTGTAAATATTATATTTTTCTTCGACTAATACAAAAAACATGATTTCAATTCCATAAAGGCTATGAGATAAACGTGATAAATACGAAGGAAATTATAAGTTATCAGAGTTGACTCATGCAAGCATTTTTTTTTTGGTTTTTGTTTTTTTGCTCAAACGCAGTATCTTAATTGCAGCATTCATTCTCAATACTTTTACGTGTTCTCTTACGATTCTAGTAGTTAAGGCACATTAATAGCCAATGTAATCAACTGTCAAGTATGTTAATCGTCGATTGTTCGTCTCCATCGATCTTGTCGACATCCTTACCAGCATTACCATTGACAATTTCCATATTCTGTAGTTTTTTCTCATCGACAATTATCACACGAATACGACTTTTGTCCCGGTGTCAGGCTGACTGTAACTGAGAGGGGGATGTCAATTCGTAGAATTGAAAGCTCAGTTCTTCACCGAAGAGATGATCGGGGGTGATAATTTCTGACTCTGACATGTTTAGGCCGAGGGCCGCTGGATTCAGGTCGGTCACGAGGTAGCTCTCACCAATCAATCCACACTCTTCGGCTACTACTTCCTTGGCCACTGGGTTCAGAAAGTCTGCAAGAACGTTCCAACAGTCACGCTCTGTTCGGAGTCACATTTATTAGATTAATGAGATGAAATTTTCATTGTGATGTTGATTACTCGAGATATTGTATTCTAAATTAACAGGTATAAACATTTTCATATGAACCAAAATCTTATAATTTCTGGATGATGTACTATGAATAGGTATCCAGGTATTTTTTAGTTATGTAATGTTCATTCATCAAATTTTTCAATTGAATTACTTATGAAAATTAGAAAGAATTCGAAGATTCTCGTTGCAAAAATATGAGGAGATTTTTTTTCAATCTCTGAAAACATTATTTCTTTGCATGAAAAAATAATTTCCAAAGGCAGTTCGTAATTTTCCTTTTTCTTATAAAAAATAGACTTACATTCAGAATTAAAAAATATTTCCTACAGGTTGAAAATGGCTCATATTTCATATCAATCATATTTAAACCATCAAATCTTAATTAGGTTCAATAGAGCTTGAAATTAAGCTCTGATGTTCCGGTGCAAATCTTTAAGAAGATTTAAACAAAAAAAAAACTAACGAAAGTATGAATATCATTTAATGCATGAAAAGTCTCTCAAGTTAAGAAAATCATCCTCAAGACACTTTTGTCTGTGTTAAAGACATTTTCTTTGGTTCGAAAAATTAATTAGATGGAATATTGCAAGTAACATGATTGAAAAATTAATTCTTGATTGAAAAAAATGATTTCCTTCCACAAATGATGAATTTTAGTTTAGTTTCTACGGGAAATTATCTCTCCTTGATGATACCACTTAAAACCTCAAATCAAATCTATTACTCAAGGAAGAAGCCCCATCTGTCAGAAAGAAAACACCCTAAACAATTTTGAAAAATTAATTTCCACATGTGTAAATATTTAAATTCAGAAATGAAGAAATATGAAGACTTCATCATCAATCAGTAAATAAAAATTACCAGTTTCCTTGTCCCTGCAAGTCTGCTCAGCCTGTTGAATCTGTTGACTAGCATCCTGTGCATTATTCTGCACTGCCATTGGCATGAGGTATTGCACTTCAACCTCTCTTTTGATTCCGCTGAGAATCTGCTCAGCGCAGTGCTCCAGCGTAACAGAACCCACGCCGTTCTCCTCCGGTGATGGACAGATACTTGCTGTTGCCGCAGCTACTTCATCTATGACTACATTTTGTCTGGAGCGAACAAAAACGCTCAATTTATTCCCTGAACCCGTTGAAAAGAGCGGAGACTACTGGTAATTTTTGTAACACGTACCTCACTGTGTTATTGCTCCTGCGAGGGTAACTGCTCTCCGCAATATTCTTCAGAATTTGCTTTTGCGTTGGTACAGAAGTTATTTGCTGAGTGCTTAAGGCTCGTGGCCTGGCGTCACGATTGGCAATGGCCCACAAGTGTCCAGCTCCGTGAGGAGCTTTTGATCCCTTTCGAAAATGTGGATTTATCGATAAATTATGTCGCACGGAGTTTTTCCAACGATCGTCGTTGCTCTTGTAATATGGAAAGTGCTCTCTGTCAATGAGAATAAGATAATAACGTGAATGAACTTCTGATCAATGTGTGCACTGTTAAAAAAATTTGGCTGAATTTTCCGCAAAAAAAACTTGAATTCAATTTAAGGGGAAAGAGTCAAGGGAATTTAAATATTCTCTGAAAAATTCCAGTGGAAAATTTTGAAGAGCGTGTCATAAAGCTTTATAGCGTGTATCATAAAACGAGTCAACAAAATTTTTGTCAAGGCGTTTCGATTATTCCAAAAATTCAGTTATCTCCCTAAGAGTCGGAGATATTCCTCGAAAACTCAGCTAAAGGCTAAGTCGACTTTCAAGTCGCACCATTTCACTGGTTCGCTACTGGTTTGGAAAAACCTACCGCTCCATTCTTCAACAAGAAGTTGAGAGAAAAAGTGAACAGATTTTCATTTTTAGATATGAATTATCCTCTTGAAAATTATTGTATAGAATTTCTTGTGCATAAATTTTCACTTTTTTCCGCTCTATATTTTATATTTTTAGTTTCTCAACCAAAACTTGGAAGTTTCATTCCCAAGAATTCTCTCAGAATAATGACCATCTATTGATTAATTTCCATCAAATATCTATCCCAGAACTCACAACAAAGTTGCATAATTTTACAACAGAAATCAATCCAAAAAACTAATAGAATATCGCAAGGAAAATCCACAAAAAATTACAGCAAAACGACCTTCAAGTCAAATCAACTCGTTCAATTTCACCCCAACATTTCTCGATTTAAGGTACCGGTGCGTATGCAAGCAAAGTGGACCTGCAGACACCCGCCTTCGTAAAACCTCAGCCCCCGGTGACAGGCACGCACAAGCACCCCCTGTGACAAAAGACCGCCATCGAAGACCTCTTCCTCAATACTCCCATTTAAATCGCCCGAGTCTCCCTCGTCGCTAATCGTGCCATCTCGCTCCGGGGGAAAAATGTGTAATTCCAATAAAAATAATCAAGCCCACCCTCGAGAAAGCTAATTTACCTCCACCTGCTCACGTCACGGCGCGTTAACTGCCGCGCAATTTTCGTACGCCTGCTCATTGCCCTCTGCGTACGGCCAGAAAACAGTTTTGTCGGTGGTAAACGATACGTTTACACGCCCCAATGACCGTAAACATGACATCAAGTGAAATACAACCATTCGAAGCCCAAAAACACGTGAGAAAAAAATCCCTGACGAAAAAGTTATTCTTAAGTGGTCGAAGAAAATGAAATAAAAATTGAAAATTGGAATTTAAAAAATTTTAAAGAATCTGAAAATTTCGTTTTGTTCCGGGAGAAACAGGAGGGAAAAATAGGAGGGACAGCACAATTTTCGTAATTTCATGTGTCACAACATGAAACAGGAAATTTGTCAGTCTTCATTTCCTGGGGTCTTTTTAATGATTAAACTCATAATTTTTCTTGTTTAGAGCACTCAGTATATTTTCTTCCTCCTCCCAATTTCAAATTGTTTGTGTAACGGGAGAAAAGTCGAGGGACAGCACAATTTTCGTAACTTCATGAGTCACAACATGAAGCACAGGAAATTTGTCATTTTCTCGGAAATTCTTCAAATTTCAATTTTGAATTTTCTTTTCCAACTCTTTCGTGGGGTGTTTTTAATTTTCAATTTTCAAGTTTTAGTATTTTTGGTCTTATTTTTCTCTTTTTAAATGATTTAATTTATAATTTTTTTGTTTAGAGTTCTCAATAAAATTTTTCTTCTCCTAATTTCAAATTTTTTATTGTCCGAGGCCCCAATCCATGAATATTTTCCTGTTCTACAAATTTTCGATTTCGCCTAGTGGTTATTAATTAATCATTAAGATTCATTTTTTTCTCGATTTATTTTTTAAATAATGTCGAAAACCCCAGGCTTATCCAGACTTATCATTTCTCGGAATAATTCAAATAATTAGCCTTTACACCAGTATATCGGGCAGAATCCTCAGGTTCGACTTTCTTTCAAGTACATGCAAAGCCACTTTTACTTGGTTTTCGTGAAATAAAATAGATTCAACCACGCGTGGATGTGCGCTCGATTTTTGCAAAATACATAAACCCCTCCGACTTTTCGGGGGTAAAAATAAACGAAGAGAGGTCAAAAATGATTAAGGTATGAATATATATGTACGACTGCATAATCCCGAGCATTTTTATTACCTGGAAATAAATTTTCGAGTGGTTCAGAGATTTAGATAACCGTTGAAAATCCCAGAATCATACGAATGAAGGAGTAACCACGATCGAAGCCGAAAAAGCATAGACGGAGCACCACGGAAGCACGAACAGACGAGGGTAGGACGCGGTACCAGGTAGTACCGTGCATTTGGGGGCAGTGGTACCACTCTGTACCTATCCCAAACCCCCCCTTTCTCACCCCCACATTCCCACCAACACAGTCATCCAAACGTAAAATTCACGTTTGTCTTTTACGTGTACAGGTCCAGTAGAAAAATAAAATGAAAAATTTACAAACATGCACATTCCTCAGGACGACGGATATTTTGATTTTTACTTACGAAATCCACTGATATATCGCGGAGACCGTCAATTCCCCTCGTTCTTGGAGAGCGTGCTCTATTAATTCTGTGTAGGTGAAGGGGGGCTTCTTTGGACCGCCGTAGCGAGACGTCGAGAAATTTCGATTATCTGATGCATAGGAGGTTGATTGGGGCTGACGGCCAGGCGGGTTATGCTCGTTGTAATTGCCACGAATCTCGGTTACGTACGGGGCATTTGTGTCCACTCGATTGGTCCCGGTATTTCGATTTCTAGAGCCTGAGGGAGACACATTGCATGATGATGAAGTCAACGCCATTAATTCGATGTTAGTTTTAGAAAAATTTAAACTTTTTTCTACCTCTTATAATTTTTTGTAATGAGATGAAGAAAGGACTTAAACATTCCAGTAATAATCGACTCGAAATTTTAATTAATTTAAAAAAGGAAAGACAAATGTTTCAAACTTTTTCATCTTCCTTTGTATATCAATATGAAGAAACTCGTAAAAATTTTAATAATGAACAAAAAATGCTGTTCAAGCCTCTTATTGTTATAAAAAATAACAAAATTAAAAATTTCAATTTGCGTGTATTAAAATGAGAAAGTATAGAATTGAAAATTAATTTTAAAAAAAGGAAAAGAAATTTTTATACTTTTAGCATATTTTTTGTGCATCAAGATGAAGAAACTCATGAAATTTTCAGTAATAAATAACAAAACCATATACAACGCTTCTGTTTCTTCTAAAAATCAGCGAAGTTCTTGTGAATTTCGGTGGCAAGATATTGAAAAATATCTCCACGGAATGAATTACCATCAATTAAAAAAAAAGGCCCAAAGCATCTTTTCCTTCACCTGCATAATTATTACGCGGCTGTGGCGCAGGGGGTTTATCCTCTGGCGCTTCAATAAGCGAATCGAGCTTGAAATCCAAAAGCCACGAAAGATTTCCATTCTCCTGGTCCTCCGGCTGGCTACAAGACATCGATGATCCAGCACTCGACGTCTGTTGCTCCGAGGTGCACGTTTGCGTCAAATGTCCCGCATCCTCGACAGTTGGTTCCCAGTTATAAAGAATGGTGCCATAATTACCATCAATATTCCCCACGTCAGCGATACCCTGCACCCCCGAATTCCCGCTGATCGATGACGAAAGGTCAATCAGATCGGCACCCCCGAGGCTCGAGACGTCCCAGGTACCATCCACCACGAGCACCTCCAGTCTCGCCACCGGTCCTGACGTATCCTGTCCGGAATTCGCTGAAAAACCAGACGGATGCACCACCTGGGACATCCCCAATTCATCCTCCCCCATCGAGTGACACTTTTTCGTCGTCTGAAATTCCTCGCAAAAACTGTCAATATCCAAGTCCTCAAAGAGCTTTCGTTTAACTCTCACTGGATCCTCTTCGCGATTTGCCACATCACTCGCAGTCGACGACGGCCCAATCATCCTTAATCTCCAATATAATGAGATTCAATCCACTCCCCTCATTCAATTTTTCAAAATAATTCAAATTGCCGAAGCGAAGTCAATCCTCCCCCGAGATTCGCTCAGACTTCCGCCGAGAAATTTACCATTGCACTTGAAAAATCAGGATCTTCAAAATCCTTAATGATCGCAAACCTCAGTCTCTCGATTGTTGACGAATTGAATACCCAAGAAATCCTAATTATCCCGAAGAATTATCCCCAATTTTTTAGAGAAGCGTTCGGAGCTTCTGTGCAACTCGGTGATGGCCCGTCGTTTGTTTCGTATTTCGACTATTCTGCGCGACTTTCAGCGCGAGCTCTCGTCAGCGCCCCTCCCGCAAGATGTCGCCCAAGTGCCCCATTACCTGGCGCCCTCCCAACCGAACTAGCCCCTCCTGCGCAACATTACCAGCGTTGCATACTTTTTTAGGGGTGGGGGGCTCATTCGTACTTCATCCCCGACTGTGCATAGACTTGTGAAAAGTCAAAGGGAACAACTGTACATAAATTCAACTGTACATAATCACATCTCTCCACCATCCTTGCAGTCGGCCAAACAGTATCGGTAGAGTAGATATTGCATTCGTTTTATTTGGAGTCGATATTAATGGTGGATGACGCCATGTGTTCCACGATAGCGCAAATGATCGTCGCACAAGGTCGGCGATTCTACCGGGTGTCCACTGTTAATTACACGCATATGTATCCCAAATAGACTCTTTTGAATTAACACTGCGTAGCGCAGTCTCATTTGAATTGAGACATCAATCTAATATCATTGAATGGTTTAATAAAATTGAAAATGCAATCTAATATTGATGTCTCAATTCAAATGAGACTGCGCTACGCAGTGTCAATTCAAAAGAGCCTACTTGGGATACATACGCGTGTAATTAACAGTGGACACCCGCTAGAATCGCGGACCTTGTTCGACGATCATTTGTGCTATAGTGGGATACATGGCGCCATCCATAATTAATATCGACTGCAAATAAAACGAATGCAATTTCTACTCTATCGACACTGTTTGGCCGACTGCAAGGATGGTGGACAGATGTGGTTATGGACAGTTTTTTTATGTGCAGTTGAATTTATGTACAGTTGTTCCCTAAGTCGATGCACAGTTGGGGATATGTACAGTCGTGGAAGTATGAACGAAGCCCCCCCGATATCGTCACCCCCATTCTAATTCGTAATTTCTCCAAAAACCTAGGGAACATGGCGGACAGCCTAGGGACCCAATCGTTGCTAGTTGCCTACGCAACACTAGCGAGTTCTCCCCTCATGCATTGCACCTTCAACCATGCTCGCACCTCTCCCCCCCCAACTCCAGTAACTTCACATCGTCCCCTCGATCCGCATTCTCGACTTCGGCAGTGTAGCGAGCACTCAACAACGAGTCGAATCGAGAAAAATAGAGAGTATACTCGTGTTCCGCCATCGGCCATTGTCTCTGACATGGAAGCCCAGCAAAATGGCAGAAGTTGTGCAGATGTTTTTGTTCCTATATAAATCAAAGTATCGGCGAAAAGTGTACGATCGCGATGATAAATTACCGTGCAATGTCCCTTACGCGTTGCTATGGGCTGTGATAGTTTGGGCGGCGTTGTTGAAGGGTGCCGCAACAGCATCATCCGCCCCAGAGACAACTTGCGATCTGGACAATTGTGTCAACGGTGATTGTGTCAATGGTAGTTGTTTGTGTCATGATGGATGGCAGGGGCCAGCCTGTCAGTACTGCAGCGGTAAAGTCAGGTAAGTTTTCTCGTTGTTGAATTTTTTGTTTTGGGGTTGTACGTAACTGTCGGGCCCTCCCCTTCTGCACCTGTCCAGCGTGGATGTCAGGTGGTACTCATGTAGGTGTGTAGAGCACATTGGGCTTGCCAAATAGGTCCACCAACTGCCGATCATTCACCCTATTTTGCTCCGCAAATTAATGCGTTTATTGCTGCCACTGCCTCGTGGAGCTTATCAGGTCGTAAATAAACAGAGTCGTATTTGTCACGGCTAATCAGCGGGTGCATGGGCCTTTCTTCCTCCAGTAACATTCTTCTATAGCGATATTTAATCCGGAATCTCTTGACACTCTCGGCGACTTCCCTTTGAACTTCGCAACAGAGTTCCGAGGTCACCATTGCAATAGTTCTTCGTCTCGAGTAACGGTTCTGCGAATCTCCGGAGTGGCATGGGATAACGCTAAGTCTTCACGGCCAGTTAATGATCATGTTATTTTTATCCATTAGAGTGATGGAATTAAGACGGCTGTTATCTGTTTAATAACTGTATTTTTCCTGGGCACTCGGTTTTCCGCCACCTTATGGAGGTGATGGAAAACCATGGACTTTCTATTTACGTCATTCACGTTCGTTCCTTCTCATGTAAATATTTATGAGAGGTTGGTAACATCCTCGGGTGTAGTCATCTGTGATTTTTTTAGGAAAATTACTGGGAGGAGGTTGGGAAATTGCAATAACATTAGCCACACGCATACAGCGTCTTCAAACGGACTGGAAAAATTGAGAATAGAGAGGAGGGTGGGAAGAATTTTTTTTAATCGGTAATAACTCAACATCAATGGAATGAACATCCGTTTTTGTTTTTTCTTATTTTGAAAGTATTTTTTAAGGCTTCATGCAAATCGCATCATCCGCGGGAGAACTATTCATGAAATGATCATTGCACATAACGGGATAATCCACATAAAAGAACAAAAAATAATTCAAACGAATCAAGTTTAATCATTTGCAATTTCATTTCATAAAAATTATTAGGAAATATAACATTAGCCACACACAAATTGCGTAGTCAAATGATCTTATAAATAATACAGAGGAGGATGGGAAGAATTGTTTTTGATCGGTAATAACTCCAAATCAACAGAGTGAATTCCATTTTGCAGCTTATTTTGAAGCCATAAAAAATACCTTCAAAATAAGCCCTGATTCATGCAAATCGCATCATTCGCTCGAGAGCCATTAATGAAATGATCATTGCACATAACGGGATAATCCACATAAAAGAACAAAAAATAATTCAAATGAGTCAAGTTTAATCATTTGCAATTTCTTTTCATGAAAATGATTTGGAGTAGGATAAAAAATCGCAATAACATTAGCCACACGCATGTTGCGCAGTCAAATGATATTAAGAAATAGTCGAGCGGAGTACTAACTCAAAATCAACAGTGAAATTCAGTTTTTTTCTCATTTTGAATGTATTTTTTAAGGCTTCAAAATGAGCCTTGATTCATACAAATCGCATCATTCGGTCAAGAAATATATTGATGAAATCATTATTGCACGTTGGATTACGGAATAATCCACATGAAAGAACGAAAAAGAATTCGGACAAATTCAGTTTAGTCATCTGCAATTTCGTTTCATGATAATGACTAGAAGTAGGATGGGAAATCACAATAACATTAGCCACACGCATATTGCGTATTTAAACGATCTTAAAAAATTGAGAATAGGAGACGAAAGAGTGAGAGGAGCCGTTTTTAATCGGTAATACCTCAAAATCAGCAAAGTGAAATTCAATCTTTGATTTCTTTTTTATTTTAAAGGGATTTTTTAAGGCTTCAAAATGAGCACTGATTCATGCAAATAGCGTTATTCGGTCAAGACATTGATGAAATGATATTATAGCCCATAAAGAGATGATGCGCACAAAAGAATGAAAAATAATTAAAATGAATCCAGTTTAGTCATCTGCATTTTTTTCTACGAAAATGATTCGAAGTAGGTTGAGACATTACAATAACATTAGCCACACGCATATTGCGTATTATAACGATTTCAAAAACTCGAGTATAGAAAAGAGGATGGCAGAACAAATTGTGATCGTGCAGAACTCAAAATCGATAGAATGTAACTCAGCAATTTTTTTTTTCATTTTGAAGATATTTTTTCAAGGCTCTTAGAAAAAAAATGAAATTTCGTGTGCAATAGACTATTAATTTGTAGGAGAATAAGATTGAATCGGATTTACGGAAAAAAATCCTAAAATTTCGGATTTCACTGAAAATTCTATACAATTCCAAATTTTTCAACAGCAGTAAACAACAATTCTCAATTTTCGTGAAATTTTCAATTGAAATATGAATATTCAGCGCCAAATTACGTTGATTTTCCAATTAAGTCAAGTTCCAAGAATATATTTACTTCAATTTTCCTCTTTTCATCAACTTTCAGGGAATAATTCAACTCAAATTTCAACCTGTCATCGATTTTTCTATAAAATTTTGAATATTCAATGACGAAATTCATTGAAATTTCAGTGGAGTACCAAAGATTTCAGCCTCAATTTTTTAACAGTATAATAGAATTAAGAAGAATCCAGTTTGGTCATCCGCAATTGTTTTCCATGAAATTGATTAAAAATAGATTCGAAAATCGCAATAACATTAGCCACAGACTCAAGAATAGGAATGAGAAGAATAAAAGGAACTCGTCTTGATCGAATTCGATGATGAATTTTTATTTCAGTCTAAAAGTATTTCCCAAAGCTCCAAAATGAGCCCATCGATTCCTGCAAACTCGCATAACAAGATGATTCGCCTGCAAGAACGATAAAGAATTAAGAAGAATCCAGTTTGTTGATTGATGCTATTTATATCGATGTCGTATCAAGAATTCGGTGCTTGCCATGCATTGATAGAACACACTCATCCTTTGTCTCCATCCCAGCAATCTTTCCAGTGATTGCCATAATAATCAATCAAGCGATATTGAATATCCCTGTTCATCCGAAATAATTAATCACACAAATGTATCTCTTGTATTGCAGACTGACAGCACCATCCGGTAGCATTCACGATGGCACTGGAAATTACACGACAGACGTTAAATGCTCGTGGTTGATCGAGAGTAGTCCAAATTCCTCCATACGTATGCATATAGAGGAATTTGCAACAGAATGCGGGTGGGATCATTTATACATATACGATGGAGACAGCGTAGAGGCACCACTATTGGGTGTATTTACGGGACTTATGCACAAGGACGGATATCACATACGACGTGTCCCCGAGGTGATTGCACGCTCCGGCAGTGTCTTCCTACATTTTTATTCGGATGTTGCTTATAACATGAGTGGATTCAACATAACGTACAAGATAAATGCATGTCCAAGCAGGTAAACATGATGATTATACCAATAAACATGTCGAAAAATACCATACCACCTCTACTCATTCAATTTTCGAGTTTTTCAAAGTGTCCAGGGTCAAACAATCCTATCAATATTCGATTGAAAAGATTAGGCACACGAAGCTGAAACTAGCAGAATATTCGTCAGCGGAAAATTCAATTGGGGGATATTTAAGTATAGGAGAGTTAAATAATCATATGTACAAATGTTTTTTACGTGTGAAAGAGTTTGCCCTTCTTTCAACTCCATTCATTGTCGAAATTAATTACTGGACATTCAGCACAAATCATTTCGTCATCATTACAATTACTTTTACATCAACCCTTATCAGTACAAAAGTTTCATGATCTGATCAATGAAAAAATGACAATGCAAAAAATTATCCAAAACTCCAGCAGATAAAAATCTCTTAAAAATTTCAATGAACACAAAAATTAATAAAGATTCCACAACTTGAGGGAAAATAATTCAACGGGAAACACGAATGAACATAGCGATTGTTATGTCAAGGAAAACTAAAGTGAAAAATGGTAGAGTGGAGCAAAGTGCAGCGTTTGTGATCGACTTTAAGAAAATCCGAGTACTTTGCCTATTTTTTCTCCAGTGAAAAGCTTCTCTACGGCTGTAGTCGAACATCAAAGCTTTTATTTGAGCCCCATTTGACCCTAATTTTCCGGACATTTTACAATCATTTTATTATTTAAACTTTGCAGGTCTGAATTTGAATTTCGATATTCAACCGTTAGAAAACATTTTACAAATTAAAAAAAAAATTAGAAAGTTTATTTTTGGATGGAGATTGATAAAATCACTAAAAAATTGAAATTTTTGAAAATTACAAGTTGAAAAAAATCGCTTTGCCGAAAGTTAAAAAATTATCAATTATTTATTTATGAACACCGAATCTTAAAAAAAATAATAATGCTGTGCGAAATTTGAATGCCACTGAATACTCATGAATTTTTTCTAATGTTTCTCTCAGAATTTAATTGACAAATTTGCAAAAGATACTGGAATCTCCTTAAATCTTGAAATCTCTGTTTATCCACAGAATATTGATTTCAAATCACTAACAAGCGCTCCACTCTCCCCATCATCCCCCAGACAAATTGCCATTATTGAAACCGAATGCTTAAAAACCTGAAACCATAAACCCCTAATAACTAATGTTCAGGCAAATAATTCACGCCATCAATAATGCCCTAACGAATGAAATAATTAGTAACACGACGACCCCGTAATGAGTAGAGGTGATACCCAATAACCGTGAATGAACATTTAATCAATGTTCCCCATAATGTTCCCAGATACTCTCACATCGATTGCTCTGGTCACGGTGTATGCATCGACGGTGCATGTACTTGTGACCCCATGTGGACAGGTGAGGCATGTGACGCATCAGTGTGTCCAAACAATTGCTCCCACCATCACGACCAGGGCGAGTGCAATCGTGAGAAAAACGAGTGCAACTGTGCCCCAGGTTACAAAGGCTCAGACTGCAGTCAACGAGTTGAGCGTGGCTACTGGGGTACCATACCCTACAAAGACTTTTCACCCGAGGGTTCAGCCAGTCACTGTTCAATCGTATGGCATGACTCACTTTACATCGTAGGCGGTGAGAGTTTTCACCGTTCCAAGATGATTTACGTCTACGATTTTACGGGCAATGTCTGGGAGACACCGCACATTGAGGGAATACGTCCATTGCCCCGCTACTCACACTCATGTGTTCTATTCGGCGACAAGATCTACATGTACGGTGGGGTTATTGAAAATTCCACAGTAACCAATGAATTATGGGCCTTTGACATATCAGCCAAAGTATGGGAGAATGTAACAGTGCGTCATCATTGTAACAACAGAACAATGTGTGGACCACTGAGAGTGGCTGGGCACACAGCTAATCTCGTCCACAGTCACGATAGAAATGAAAAAATGGTCATTATATTTGGCCATTCACCCCAGTACGGCTATTTGAATACCGTTCAGGAGTACTACTTTGGCACGAGAGAGTGGAGAATCGTCGATTCCACTGGTTTTCCTATAAAGGGCGGTTATGGACACAGTGCTGCACACGATCCACTGACAAATCACATTTACGTGTACGGTGGTTATGTATCGGAATCGCAGAATACGCAAGTATTGACGAGTCGTATTTACTCTTATCATCCAAATACACGTGTATGGCGTCTACTGACATCGGCCCCTTCCGCCCGTTTCTTTCACACTGGTGTCTTCGTATCGGACGGTATTATGCTAATATTCGGTGGTAATACGCACAACGATACAATACATTCGCACGGTGCACGTTGTTATTCAGCTGATACAATAGCATACGATGTGACATGTGACTCGTGGCATCAGTTTCCAATGCCACGTGAAATGTCAGATCTTCCAAGGTACGGTCACAGTGCAACGATATTTGGACAATCTATGTACATATATGGGGGCTTTGATGGTCAGATGTTGTCGGATATGCTGATGTATACACCGGGTAGTTGTGAACATTTGACGTCCCAGAGTCAGTGTTTAATATCTAGAACTGGATTGAAATGCATCTGGGACAAGAGGCAGGATCGTTGTGTACAGATAACGAGGAGTTTGAGACAGAAATTGTGGCAGAATGATAATTTGCATGATTCCACTTACATGAAGTGTGTCGATGATACACAGCCCCGTGGTATGACATCGCACAAGGAGCTGTGCAAATTACTGACTGATTGTTCAGCTTGTGTGCAAACTTCTTACGACTGCGTTTGGTGCAGTATGAAGGGATGCGCTCATGAGGTGTGTGGCAGGACACCGAGTGCACCACCACTCACTGGTATCACAAGTCTTGATCAGTGCGAATTGCACACGGGAATTGAGTGTCCTCAATTGCACACGTGTCACGCGTGCTCCAATAATCAGGACTGCGTGTGGTCATGGCCGAATGGCCCTTGCAAACAAATCACCAAGATAAGGGATATCAGTTTTATGAATGGCACTGCTATACAGGCGCAACGGTTGACAATGGACTCGTGTAGGAGTCCATGTGTTAATTACAAACACTGCAGTAATTGCACTGAGAATGATTGCATATGGTGTCAGAATGAGGGAAAGTGTGTTGATAAGAATGCATATCCAGTGAGTTTTCCTTATGGCCAGTGCAGGGAGTGGACGACTAATGGGGCCAGGTGTAGGGCTACGGAGACGGGAAAGGAGTGGTGCAGCTTTTATTCGTCGTGCTTGAATTGCCGATCGGATCCCGAGTGCGGGTGGTGTGATGATGGCTCCAAGACGGGAAAGGGTATTTGTATGCCTGGGGGATCCAGGGGTCCTAATGCTAGAAATGGGGGCTTTTGTCCCATTGAGAGGTGGTTCTTCACGAGCTGTCCAGCTTGTCAGTGCAATGGCCATAGTACGTGTTATGGGAATAGCAGTGACTGCATCAAACCGTGTGGCAATTTGACCAGGGGGGCGCACTGTGATAAGTGCATTCCTGGGTATTTTGGAAGCCCGTTGAATGGGGCCACTTGTCAGCCTTGCTCCTGCAATAATCAGGGTACTGAGTGCACCAGTGAAACTGGAAAATGCTTTTGCACGACTAAGGGCATTATTGGGGATAATTGCGAACGCTGTGACGTTTCTAGTCTGTACCATGGAGACCCCACGAAGGGATCGTGCTTCTGTAAGATTCAGGAATTTCATGATCTTTTGTGAGAGGGGACTATTTATGGATCGAGATGATTATTCTTAATCTAGGTTTCTCTTATTATAAGAATATTTCTTGAGGGAGGTTCTGTCTTGATCTGAGGTATAAATGAGGAAATGTATTTTTGCAATGCACAACAGAAATTTTTGACGCTGTGACGTTTAATCTTCTCAAGTTAGAAAGATATTTTGCATTATTCTCAATAGGAGGGAAATTGCTATTGACTTATGAATAATTTTCTTGATCCAATGTGCGTGAATGAAAAATATTTCTATTCATCTTTCTTCAATTTTTCGCAGACGATTTAGCAATCGACTACCAGTTCACATTCAATTTGAGCAAGAAGGAGGATCGCCATTACAGAGCAATAAATTTTAAGAATTCCCCGTCGAAACCAGACGTCGACGCTGAATTTTCCATAGCCTGCTCTGTACTAGCGAAAATGAATATAACGATAAAGAAAGCCAACAGTCCGGAGAAGCCACTCCTACTTGGTGCCAATTGTACGACGTATAAGCATCGCTTCAGCAAGGCTGACTATAATTTTGGTAGTGAGGATAACACGACATTAACGACGTTTTACGTGTACGTTTATGATTTTCAACCGCCCCTCTGGATACAAATATCATTTTCCCAGTACTCGAAACTCAATCTACAGCAATTTTTCATCACATTCTCCACGTAAGTACGCCGATGTTGTATAAATGGGGAAAGAAGGTGTCATTTCTTGTATTTTTAATTTTTTTTTCATCGGAGGTTCATGTTTATTTTCGATTGCATGCCATACCATCTGCACCCATTTCTATTGATCTAAACCTCAGGCAGTACTAACTTGTAAACTAGAGATTACATGACAACGCACAGGTGCTTCCTTGCTCTTCTACTGGTGGCAGCCATATTATGGAAAATAAAGCAGAAATATGACATGTATCGGAGACGCCAGAGACTCTTCGTCGAGATGCAACAGATGGCCAGTCGTGCCTTCAGCCAAGTCCTGGTGGAGATTGAGAGGCGTGATATTCCACCGGATATTGAGAGAAACGATGCGGAGACCAATAACGTCAGGAAGAAGAAAAAGGTTGGTTGATATTTTAATGATTCAATTTTACTGGGGTACAATAACGTCAGAAAGGAAAAGGGTAATTGGTATTTTAATAATTCAAGCGTCACTGGGTGATCGGTAAATTTATTAACAATAACAAGTCTTCATTTCTGTTGTGATGACAATACGATGATAATATGGGATAATAATCTACGATTCAATGAATTAGACGAGAATGATAAGAGTGACAGGTAATATTACGTTTCCGGTATACTTCGTGGAAATACTTATGTGTATTTCTACTGAATTTACAAAGAATTTTGCCATTGAAAATTTAGAATTTAATGGAAAAATAAATTGAAATTGTTAATTTCGTGTTAGAAAATGCTTGTTTTTCAACAAAAAATGCCAATATTGCATAAAATCCATAAAAGTGGAATGGAAAGTTCATTATGTAATCTCCTGAATTACGATCAATTCAATCAACTCTTCTAGACTTCATTTCAATTAGTCTTCTCTGGCAATATATAAAAGTATATTTAAATAAAGCATTGAATTTCGTCCAATGATTGGACACAGAGAAATATGAACATGAAGAAACCAAAATTCGAAATTTTCAACCATCATCATAAAAATTAAAAAAAATTATGTAGCTATCATAATCATCCTTTAACTTCGACTTAATGGCATTAAAGCAAACATTTTAAACTATGATTAAATTCATTTAGAGCAAGATATTCAAAGATATCCCCGTAATTCTGATTTTCAAAAAATACAAAATTTTTGAAAATTTTCAAATAAATCAAAATAACGATTATTACTATCGCCTTCATCTTCGAACTCGGTCAAAAGGACATCCAAACAATTTTTTAAGCCATCATTCAATCAATTAAGAACATTTTTCTACTTATCGCGGGACAACCGATTTTCGAAAAAATTCGAAAATAGAAAAAAATAATCGATGATTTAAATTTTAATTAATAGTGAACAATTAAATAAAAGCTTTATTACACACGTACACACACAAAAAAAATCTAAAACTTAAATTTGAACGATTAAAAAGCTTCCATTCAGAAGCAAAATAACAATGAACAAAATGACGAATGATTAAAGTACGTATCTGAAAGAATTGCGGGAGGGAATGCTGGCTCCATTCCTTAATAAAGAATTGAGATTTATCAATAAGGAAGTGCCATGTCTTTAAAACCCCGAGTTTACTGAAATCGTTAACAATTAATTAACGCATCACACCGCATTATTCTTCTCATTAAATTTAATTCTCCTGCTGATCCTCAGGATGCTCCAAGTCCAATTGCCCTGGAGCCATGCAGTGGCAATAGAGCAGCTGTTTTATCGTTGCTAGTCAGACTGCCAACGGGTGGTGAGCCTTACACACCAGCAGGTCAGAGTGCTGGTTTAGCAGTTGCATCTGCACTAGTCACCCTGGGCAGTCCAAGAAGGCCTTCACAAGAACTGACAACAAAGGAGCCCAAAAAATCAAGAAAATCCGCCAGTCAACATCCAGATTCAACCTGCATCTAGCGTTGGATGAAGGTAATCACTTTAATCTCCACCATTTGTGCTTTCATATGTATTGGAACATTATTTTATTGTTTTTTAATCCCCGAGAGCAACTGACGTGACCTACTCCTTTGGACAAATTCAAATTTATTCTGTAATCACGAGTGATCTTTTTTATTTCCCGGTATTTTTTTTAGCTTCATCCTTGTTTTTACGAGAGGAAATTATATCATTGTGGCAATGAGGCTTCCATGATTAGTGGGAAGATCAACCTCTACTCGATTCAAATGAAGTTTCTTTTTCAATTAGAATGTTTTTAACCTTCGACTGAATTGATAATTTTGCAGCGTAAATTATCATGTATTTTATGCGTTTTCACATCAATTTAATGGCAATGATTCATCAATTAATTGTTTTCTGCCCGTCAACATATATGTTTGCAGATGTTCATTCTGCTGGGTTAACAATTTTTCTTTTATTCTCTTTCTCGAATTAAACTTTTTTAAGAGTTTAAGAGTTTTGACGTGGACTGGATAAGGCTGATTATCTAGACTGCTTTGAAAAATGGCCCGCCTTAAAAGAAAAACAAAACGGCTACTTACGGTGTAAATGCTCTCTCCCACATACAACATTGTAAATAAACCTACGTGTACCATTTTTGAATGTGCTGGTTAGTGCAGCAATTTGTTGAAACTCGATGGTGATAATCAAAAAAACAGAGAATAAAAGAAATTGGTTGGGAGAATTTGGAGAGTTGGAAAAATTGTACAGTTATGAGAAGAGATAACGAATCAGATCTATTAATTCATTTTATTTCGTGGTATGCTTGGCGGCATGCAAGTGTGAGAGATAACGAATGTATTAACCCTCATTTTTATTTCAATATTTTCGAAATGATAGAGCACTATAAATATTTCAATTCTAAACCAAGGGACTTAAGTAATAGGAAGACATTGAGGGCCTTGCATTTAATAATAAGCTTGACTTAGTATTTCATTTATTCTTCTGCCCCCCCTCGAACAAACATTAGAATAACGTATTAATGCAATTGAACGCTTTATTTTCACCCAGCGTTCTATTGTACGAAAGTATAGTGTCATTTTACCAAAAAAAATCAGAGAATTAAAATTGTTTGTTTTTATTATTGAATTGTATTCCTATTTAAATCATCTGCGCCATCAAAATTATCATTTCACGAATTAACTCGGTTGTCAGCTCGTCTTGTCAATGACATTAACGAATTTGAATAATGATAATTACTCAATGTAGGATAAGTGAAGATGCATTTTTTTCGAAAGTTTAATACTTGTACTTTTTATAACGCGATGTATCGTGCAGAATAAGCAGAGTGTAAAATAAATTATTCCTAAAATTATTGAATTCACTGTAATGCTAGAACATCATTTTTTTGAATTCCTCATTTATTGAAATTGTCCATTCATCTCTGACTAAAATAAATTTTTGAATAGAACCAAAATTGTCATCAATCCACGATGACAACTCGAATTAGTGTAAGAATAGAGCAGTAAATTATTTCAATTAGTCTTCTCTGGCAATGTATAAAAGTATATTTAAATGAAGCATCGAATTTCGTCCAATGATTGGACACATAGTCGTCAGAATTTGGGAATTTCTCCTTCATTTTTGAGTAAGAAACTCCTGAATAATGTCAAAGTCCCAATGCGATACCATTAAAATAAACGGGATACAATAACACAGTGACAATGTTGTCCATGTTGATTTTATTTTTGTGAGAGAACAACTTGTGAATCCTAAAATTGTAGAGTGGCTTTTTCACACTGATGCAATGAGTAATTTTTTTGTGATAAATTTGAGACATCTGAAAAAAATATCAAGTGAGAACAACAGTAACAACCCTGATTACACGACAGAATTCCACAGAATGCGGATGTCGTCGATCGCAAAAACGAGACTGACCCCATTTTATAGATATTTTGATGCTGATTTGAAATTTCTGTTGTAACATCTTTTCAGCACGTCGAATTTTCGTGAAAAAAAAATGGTGAAGTGTTAAAAAGGGGCTGAAAGGGGCAATTAAAAAAAATTACAAAAAGGTGAATTTAAACGTACTTTTTTCAGAATAAATGACTTAACGAAAACAATGACTTAATGAAAATGCAATTTGTTTAGTACGTTTAGGTTCATCCCAATTGGTTGAGTCGAAGTGAGTGAAAAAATCTCGAAAAAGTCAAAATTTCATGATTCTTCTTGTAAAATTAAATGATCGGAAGTTGGTTGCGCACACTTTGATGCACGCCAATCTCAAATCTATTTACAGACGTGTATTAACCTTGTGCGTTAATGTCATTATTTTTCAACTTTATTTCAGCAACTAAACCTCTCAACATTTGAGGGTGATTTCTCATAAGAGCAATTAACTCGTTTTGACTCAACCAATTGGGATGAAATCGAATCTACTAAACAAATCGCATTTTCATTAATTCATTTTTTTTTTCTGGGAAAAACTGCGTCCAAATTCACAAATAATGTTTTTTTACAAATTTTTCAAATTGTTCATCTTACCCATTCTTAAACATTTCAACATTTTTTGCTTAATTTAAAATCAGCATTAAAATATTTATATGATGGAGTCGGTTTCATTTTCGAGAACCGTGTTATTCTTGCCCAGATCAGAGAGACTTCAGATAATATCAATTTTCAATTGAAAATAACCACCAATCACTTCCGTAATGGAAAATGCCATGTTTTTACAATCCCGAATTTGATGAAATCGTTGACATTAATACATCACACCACATTATTTGCCGCATTGAATCATTTATATATAGACACATACACAGAACACATCCTCGATCATAGGATACCCAACAAAAGAACAAAAAAAAACAAAAAAAATATATTGAACATATATTTTCATTCAATTGTGTATTCAGCTCGATCTAGTCTGTAACGATGAACAAAATGATGAATGATTGAAGTACGTATGTGAGAGAATTGGTACAGAGGAGTGATGGAGGTGTAGGAATTAGATGAGACATGAAGGACGAATTGGCAGGGGGAAGAACGAAATATAGAGTATCTAGCCAGTCTCGAAGAAAGTTGAGATCGAAGAAAGTTGATTTCATGATTTTGGAAAATAACACAGCGAGAAAATTTCGTAGAGAAGCCTTGTGCATTCGCTGAATATTTTCCTGTGAACATTTCGCAACTTTTCTGCGCGTTTTTCCATAGTAGTGTTCAAGAGAAAATATTGCATAGCAAAAATCAACAGATATTAATTTTTTATACAACTAATTCTGTTGAGATTGCTTCCATAGAAAATTTTCTGTTCAACTTCTCCAAGTTTTTTGCTTGAATTTTTTAGTAAGAGAAAACAAAATGAAGGAATTTCTATAGAAAAAGAGTAATTTCAATGGAATAAGTTGTTTGGAAAAATGAAAGTCCATCGATTTTTTTAATAAAATATTCTCTATTGAATATTTTCTGCTTTAAAAATTCACAGAAAAGCAGACGAATGTTTTAAAGGAAATCTAACAGATTTTTTTTACGAATGTGGTGAATTTTTCTATGAAATTTTTTCGTGTGTGGACTAGAGTGGCTAAATACTGTGGAGCCAAATTGATTAGGGGCGAATGTTCAATGCAGCTCAAACATTAAAAAGACTGGCGAATTGTTCCAATAAACGTTATTAAATTGACAGGAAAAGATGATTGAACTGAATAATTAAAAACTCAGCCATATTTTTGTCCCAGATTGTATAGACACTGAGTGAGTGTAAATTTAATTCGAGTATGATTCTGTGTGACTGATGAATATGTATTATAAATGCAGATATTGTTTAAATAAAAATTGATATATTAAAAGTGTTGAATATTACTCACCTGCACCCAGGTAGACCAACTCTTCCCATTATTTAATCATTTTTATTGATACTAACATGAGAATAATATTTGTCACTAATAATAATGATAAAATTATTGCCACGACCTCAAGCACTTAATCTTTCATATGAAAGATATCCCAGTACCTCGTAATGTTTCTTGAAACCCACAATAGAGAAGGGTGGGATCAAATGGACACTAAATTTTCTTTAAATGTTCAAAATTGAGAAATTATTTGATCAATTGAGCTCAATCTGCACTCATCACAAAGAGAAATAATTAGTATTTACAAACAAAAAGATATCCCGTTTCATTAACCCTTTAATGAATTATTAACATTTCAGAAGAAGCAAGTGCTCACATTGACCCACTCTCCGATAAATTTGCACATTTTGAATCATAAAATTTCACTCAAATTATATTTTTGAAAAAAATTTACTCTTTTAAAAACTTCTGTTCTTATTAACAAACCTCTATTAAAAAAATCGGTGAAACATTGTGTTATGCTGGATTTAGAAATATTTCCAGTTTATTTGAATAAACAAATAATAATAATAACGATAATAATGAATGATACTTCTTTTTTTATCTTCAACGAGAAGTTTTTATTCATGCGTTAGAAAACATGTTAGAAATCAGAAAAAAAAATTAGAAAGTTTACTTTTGGAGGAAAATTAATGAAGTCATTGGAAAATGGCTATTTGTGAAAATTACGAGCAGTTTTTATGAATAATTTATAAACAATCAATTTTCCACCCCAAAAATCATTTATTTGTTGATAATAATTTATTCATATTCAGAATTCTACCAGAAATCGATTTCCTGCCAAAAAAAAATAGGTTTCCGGAACTTTAAACAATTTCAATAATCTTTTTATAAACAACGAATGTATAAAAAAATAATAACGTGCAAAATGTAACTTGAATGACGCCGAATATTCATGAATAGAATACATTATTCATTGATGCTACTATTACAGTTTTACATCTTCAGAATATTCCTGATTTTTTTTTATTTTCCGCAAGCAATTTAATTGATAAATTTGACGATAGCAAATGGTTGAGTCCACAGTGTACTCTATACCAATTTACAAAACATATGAATATCCTTAAATCGAAAGACAATACGAGCGAATATTATCTCATTTTTTAATGAACAAATAAATCCATAACGATCATAAATAATATGCATAAACCACTAGCCAATTCTTGCGCGCTCCGTTTCTTAACACCATAAAATATTTAAACTTTCAAAAACCTCTCTCGCAATTACGAATAAATCCACCAATATTTCGATAAAAAAGGTACATAAATTATTCAACAACAACGGTGGTAATCGCAATTTCCAATTATAAAATCAACCCCTTCACAAATCACTTTTCAAATTCCCTCGTTCTTCCACTGTCCCTGCGCCTTCGCTCGCCGAAAAGCCGTCCCTTCAAAGCCGCTCCAAACCCCCAAAATTGAATACCCGCCACTCTCCTAGTTACCGCCTCCCCCGCGAGATGGCACTAGCCTTACAATTTCCACGGAACGTCGGGGTGGGCGTCCCCAGCCGCCGCAGTTCACCAATCACGAAGCCGAGTGCCCAGGCGTCAGTTGGCCATTATTATGGTTCACCGTTTTTCGAACTGTTTCGAACGACACACAGTCCCCCCCCCCGTAAGTGTACAACCACAGTAACCCACGCGCAGTTCTGTTAATGACCCCGTGCGCTCGAGATGGCCAATAGAAAATTCCCAAACTCTTCCTCCAATTGTCAATTCCCTCGTGCCCCAAACACAAAACTTTCCCCCGCAATCACGTGTCCCATGCATTGTTGTGCCGTGACAGTATTGAAAGTGAGGTTATGTAACATTCTTTAGTGAAACAGAAACAATTCCTCCAAAAATCGTGCAAAGTTCCCTGACATGTGCAAAATCCCGAACTAATAGTGATCAAGAATTGACAAGTGGTGACTACAGGCCCCAGTGAGTGCAATGAAATGACGTGACCAATTCCCTAATTTATTTACACCTTATTAATTTTTATTCATAAAAAAATCAGTGAGTGGTGTTGTCGTCACTGGAAATAAATTCCTCAGCGATCAGTCCTGGACAGTGCATCCACCGTGCGCCTCTGAAGCTCCCCCTGGTAATAGTACCGTCCCCCCTCCCCCGCCGACAACTGTCTCCCTTCAGCCCGCACACTGTCCCGTTTGTCGAATTTCCATTGTCCCTCTTTCTCGGACGCGAGCGTGGCGGCACGCTGCTCTCGCGTACAACTACCTGTTGTGACGTTCAGCGTACACTCAATTCGACGCTGCACTGTGTACCGAGCGTTCCAGTGAAAATAATCCGCCTGGAGGGGGACTTTCCGACGTAAAACCCCCCCCCGGAATAACTTCCAACCAAGAGTTAATTATTAACAAAGTATGATCCGCAGGAATAACGATTGATTATTCAAATATTTCATTTGAACCGATTAAAGCGGCGAAAGGCCGAGGGCCGGGGGTCTCTCTCGATGCCCCACTCCTCTTATTCTCGACCCGCGCCACGGCTATGGGCCACTCTTATCGAGAGACGAGAACTTAGTCTAGCGCTGCGCTCGTGCCCCGTACCATCGGGTTAAACTGTCGCGGGCATAAATCAAACTGACGTAAACAATTCACAGTTATTTCGTTGTTTCACGTGATTCCACAGTCTGCAGAATCTCAGACCTTGACAAAATGAACTTATCGATGTTAAAAGCAGAGACAATAAATTGAAAAAAATACCACGCGTAATGTTGCAATAACAACAAACGAGAGTTAACAAGTGAGTGAAGGCTGGATGAATAATTTGCGCAAGCGTACTGTCAATGTGAAGTTACCACTTGGCGGGTGATACAAAAATATCGCACGTAGTTTGTTCCATTTGAGTAGTGAATGAAATGTCATGGGTTTATGAATGCACGACAAATGTCAGTCGACAGGAAGTTGATTGTAGCTGCGTGTGAGAGGATGCTCGAGAGGGCGGGTAACGACGAAGAAGAAGAAGAAAATATCGAGTTAAAGGCCAGAATAAATAGGCGATAGTGAATTATTGATTGATTAATTAAAAACTGAGGTGTTTTCACTGCGCTGGCTTACGCTGCAGTGGATCTAGGGGGCTGTATGGAGGCCGGGGGGCTCCTGCCCCATCAGCCCTCGCAAGGCCCCCCCGGCACAGGCACGGGTAGTGCCCAAAATATTTGTCTCGGTGGACAACAGCGTCGTGTCACTAGTCAATCACCGGTGCACACGGGACTCGAGCAATTGAATTCGGCTGGCCAATTGGCATTGACGAGTCAGCAGCAGTTGCAACATCTGCAGCAACAAATGGGTCAGGCACCGAATATGGGTGAGATTATCACCCCGAAAAAACAATTGGCTGTTGATCGGTTGAGACGGAGAATGGATGAGTACCGAAGGCACCAGACCAACGTCACCCCCAGGTTTGAGCAGAGCTTCAATGGTTTGTGCGAGCAAGAGTCCCAGGGGACGCTGCTCCTCAAACAGAGATTCTTTGACAACAAGGCCAAGAGACAAGCGAAGAAAGCTGATAAGAAGCAGAATGAGGCTGTTGGCCTATCCAGTGTTCACGTGGTGAGTTATTTATCCTCATTTTTTTTTTTTTTTCACTTCCACTTCTTTATTCTTCTCTGGTACTTTTCCTTATTACGAGTATACCGAGTTATCGCGACAGATCTCAAGAGCTTGGGGTTATTGTATATAATATTTCCTCTGTTTTATTCGAAATATTATGAGAGCAGTCGAGCTCGTACGTGAGAGTATTCGTAAGCCACTTAACTGGAACCTTCTCGGTGGCACATGGAGGAGTGTGTTTTTCTTGGAAATCTCGGGACATACGCCACGATCGTGTGTTGATGAAGCACAGAGGGTTCTCCATTCCCCCCTCCCCCCTCCCATCCACCCGCCCCCTGGGCTTTGTAAATATGCTCTTGTGAAAGAAAGAACAAGTTCAGTAGACCGATCGCTCTTTTTTGTCTCTTGCTTTTCTCTCTTGGTCTTCTTCGCTCTGCCTCCCCCGGGTGTGCCCCTGTGCCCGCAAAATCTTTCATTTTTCTTTCTACCGGTGTGTCATGTGAAACCTGCCTGGAGCTGCATACAACCCCTCATATACCTACCTGCGAGTGAACTTCTTCAATCGCTTTTGAGGGATTTTGTCGTCGAAAGACACCGGGGAAAAAATCGGTTGAATTTTAAACTTCCATCCATTTCTCGCTGTCTCTGAGGTTTTTCTGGATAATTTGGGGATGAAATAGATATAAATCTTTGGGTGTGGGTTGATGGCTGGGCGAAGGGACCCACATTTGAAATTCTAATTGATGCATCGAACGATACTCCTGAGTTACGAATAGTTTCACTGAGGTTATTCTAAAGTTTGGTTCATTGTTGTTTTGAAATAGGAAATGATTTTAATGGAGGTCATTCACTTGGATGTTTAATACGATTTTCAAAGAATTTTACGATTGACAGATTTCTATTTTTTTAAGATTTCATTTTCCTTTTATTGATTCTGTTCATTGGATTAAATACTTGAAAGGTTAAATTGCAAGAGTTTTATCTAATTCATTCTATGATTTGTTTTTTTAATGTGGTATTGAAAGTCTATGTGAATGTTAAAGTTGGTTGAAATTTAAAAATTTTTAAATTTGTTTGGTTGTATTATTTATCAGTAGATATAATTTGATTTTAAGATTGATCCTGGGAATTTTTATCGTGTTTAATTTCCACTGAAATTTGCGGAAATATTGCCATTGAAAAATCTAATATTCCGTTGATTTTCTGTTCGATTGATCTGAAAATCAATAAAATACTTGATTTTTCGGTTAAATTATTCTGTGAAAATTCACAAAAATCACGAAAATTCAGGGAAAAATTGAAAATTCATGTCATTTTGTTCCTGAATATCCATGTTCCATTAAAAATGAATCATGAATTTCTTTGAATTCTACCTAAAACATGAAATTTCATAATCATTTTTCCCTAAATCCTATTCAATGTCACTCCCATGGAAATTCCTACTCTATTTTCCATGAAATTTCAACAAATTTCTAACAGTGTATGAAATCATTCGAAGTCAATTGCAATCATGAAATCGTCGATTTCATTTCCTCTCGAAATCACTGAAATCAGCCCTGAAATCACGTGAAGTCGGTTTCATTTCGAAATCATGGTGTCACTTAATCAAGGAGTGGAGTAGCTCCTCGGGTTTGGAAATATTTACACATAGTGGATGAGTTTCACGTTCATTCATAATCGATGGAAAGTATCGTGAGAATTGTTGATTTTCCACGTTAGAAACTCTCGAGTTTTGTGCCATGGTGATCCAGATTCCAGTCCGGTCGCTTCTACCATCACGATTGACACTTTCTTCACGGTATACGGTTCAACACGTTTTTACCACAATTTTATTCTAATGTTTGTGGAAATTTTTTTTCCTAGGAATTTGTCTTCGATAATCGCGGGAAGAAACATAAAACAAAAATATGGACATTCCTTTCACATTTCGCGTGTCGCGTGGATAGGAAATATAACTTTGAATTTTAAGTAAAAATTGTTGAAGTATTCGAGAGAAACCACGGGAGAGTTCTTGACAAGTTTAATTAATTCATGGGCATTTTCAATAGAATTGGTTACGTAAAAATCCAACAATTTTTGTAAACATCCATACAACTGAGAATTTTAGTTGAATATAGTTATGTAAATCCCTGAAAATTACGACTATTGTCCTGGATTTCCAATGTATTCATTCAATCTAATGCAATGTTTATTTTTCACAATAAATTTCTAATCATTACAAAAATTTCTACACTTCTAACGAGAAATCTTCGTAGATTGCAACATAAATAATAGAATAATCAATCAATTTCATCTCAATTTTGATTGATGTCAGATCGTTAGAAATTAAGTTGTAACTGTCAATCAAATTTCAACAATGTAGCAATACTCATTAAGTTTAATAACACAGAAAGTCCTTTCCTGCTCCATAAGTTTTCTTTAACTTTCCGAACATTTTACCATGATTTTATTATTTAAACTTTGCAAGTCTGAATTTCAATCTTGTTATTGAACCGTTAGAAAACATTAAAAAATCTGACAAAAAACAATTAGAAAATTCACTCTTGGGAGAAGATTGATAAAATAATTAAACAGTGACAATTTTTGAAAATTACGATCATTTTCTATAAATAATTTATAAACAATTAATTTTTCACCATAAAAATCATGTTCTCGGAATCCTAACAAATTTATTCCTAACAAATATATTCAGAATTTTACAAGAAGTTCAATTCATTCCTAAAAAAATAAAATTTCCCAAACTTTCAATTATTTAGTTAAAAAACGAATCTTTAAAAAAATTATAATTCTGTGCAAAATGTAATTTGAATGACGCAGATTATTCACGTTTTTTTTCAAGTGTTTCTCACGCAATTTAATTGATAAATTTAATGAGTGAAAATGGTTGAATTGATAGTGCGGTACCAAATTGTACCAAACTGTAAAAGGTCCCTGGATATCCTCAACAATAATTACTGAAATTTCCACAATTTCCATTAGAAATTAACCCATCTCTCAACAACAACATTGAAATTTAATGACAATGAGTTGTAGTTAACACTTGCAAGATTTTCCCTCCGATCCAGGAGTAAATTTCAAAGAGGCCACATACACTCACACCCTCAATCACGTTATGATCGCAAAGGTTCGTTCGATGGTTCGCATTACAATCCATTAGTCAGCCGCCCACTGGCAATTTACGACTTAAAATCGACTGCAGTTGAAACCCTCCTCATTCCCTGGTATATGGGTCCCATCTCTCGTTGCATCTGTGATTTTGTCTGAATCATTCAGCTCCAAGTGCGATTTTAAACTCCGATAAATTCTCTTTACGATCCCCCAAGAAAATAACAAAAATCCATAACACGATTACATATTATTTGCACCACATCAATGGGCTTCTTGTAAGAAACATCGTTCATAATCCACTCCCATGAATCATAAACCATTGAAATGGTGCCGAACTGAATACCCATAGCGGCTATAATTTGATGGGCAACTCGTTTAGCGCGGGTGGCATGTCCGGAGACTCTTCATGGCCTTCTGGGTGGTCAAGCCAGAGTGAATTCCATCCCGTCGTATAATGGCCTTCCCCAGAGGCATTCCGCGAGTCAGTAAAAGATCCATACAAAATCCTCGCAGTATTACCAATTCCCGCTCACATCCAACACCTTTCACTCATCGCCAAATTAATCAAGAGAGCGCACCAATTACTCCATTACCGAACATCAACGGGTCATTTCAGAATTAAAACGATTACATGTTGTATCAGCGAAAAATTACGTATATTTCTCGTAAATTCGCATTTAAAAATGCGTGACAAAGTGAAAAGTTAATCCTCCTCTCAACATTTTGCCCTCTGATTACCAAAATTCTTCTCTCCGTGTACATAATCTCGTTAGTCTCCACTCTCTCCCCTCTTTCTTCCGAGAGTTCTAGGCCTCAGTTAGTGAGAGTGGCCCAACGTGAAGGAGAGGGGTGTTAAATTCCGTCCGGATGACGCATTCCGTGAAACTTCTACAGTCTCTAAACGCATCTTTTGTGTCAAGAAAACAGAGGCCCTTGTAGACAGAACAAAAACAAAAGGAGAGAACCAAAAAAGAAAAATTATCTCTGTCTCATCTTATTGAGAATAGACTGTTCGTTGAAATTTCCCTGGAATTGGAGAATTTAAAAGGGGAGGGAGAACTGAGTTGAGGGGAAAGTCAAATCAGGCTGGAATAAGACGCTGATCAGTAAAAATTGGTTTTGATTCTGTTTTGGATCAAAAATGTAACGCTTGTTTGGATTCGCGCTTGATCAAAATGCTAGGATCCAATTTTCCTGATCATTACCAAATGCGATGTGGATTTCGTCCGGATTTGACTGATCAGAATATCCACTGTTTGAAAAAAATTTGACTTTCAATGTCAGGAGAGTGACATTGAATTGGATTTGGGTGAAAAAAATCATGAAATTTCATATTTCTCTGAAAATTCAATGAAATTCCAAATTTTTGAGCGGCAGGGTGACAAGAATTCCCAAATTCACTCGAATTTTCTACCAAAATGGAAATATTTAGTACTGAATTACACTCAATTTTCAATTGATTGAAAATTCAAGCATATATTTACCGCAATTTTCGTGATTTCTATTAATTTTCAAGGAACGATTGAACTGAAATTTACAGCTTCCACTGAGTTTTCCAAAAAAATTGGAATTGTCAATGTCGAATTTTCAGTGGAATTATAATGAAAAAAGTGCAGATGTGACAAAATGCTCGTTAGTTTCCATCTATATATACCTGACCCTCAAATTTCGAGTAATGAAATAATGAATGATAATAATTAATAAATAAAATGATGAATGATAATTCAATTCTATTAAAAAGTTCGCCGATCGAACCCTTAAGGCATGACTGAAATAAAAATAATTGTCAATTTGCAATTTCATAAAGAATTTTTAGTCATTTTCGCTCGTGTCTGACGCAGCTCAACTGTGACGGTGATTTTGCATACAAAATTCGGTCAGGGTCAGAAATC